GCGTGAAACAAGAATAGCATCAACAAATGCAATAAACTAACACTCCTCTACTATGTGAGAATAAGGTCCCAAGAATGAATAAAAACTAATCTTCAAAGCAAAAGAGGGGGGGGGGGCAAACTTGTTACAGAGGCACAGAAATTATGGAAACAAAGACCTTCTTGCAAGCCTTGATACAGAACTGCAACTCTACAGTCATCTCTGATGACCATCAGCCTGTCCATCTGTAACTATGGAGATCCCTCTCCCATCTTCTTTCTTAAATTTCTCAGTTAATTTAATTGTGGAGTGCAGTCAATACCCTCAAACTAGATTGAACGTGGCAACTCCCCAACATCCTCTGAGTCTAAACTCAGCAAAGCTAATGGCGATCACGTGAGTAGCTCAACTGGAATCTGGAATAGAGAGACATATTTACACAACAGGGTTAGCATGATCTCCCAGTACTCTCCTGAGATTACAGAAGGCATTTTCCACTAAGGCTTCTACAGAGAGGCTACAGAAATGCACTAGTTAAAAACTCCACAAAACAAACTTAACACGTACCTCCAAAAGTAAGCTCAATAATTTAATTAGAAATTATATCTAACATTCCCCCATGCATTCCCCTACATGAGAAAACACCTAGGAACTCTTTATTTTTAAGTAAATGTGTGATTGTAAGCCATGTCAAATTTTAAGTAAACTGTGCAATCACCATGATGGGCTGGAGGTTAGTTTCCTGAAATACCATCCTGTTTTAACAGCATGTTAATTTATCTGCTCAATATTTTACAATGGACTAAAATAAGTATGCAACTTGATCGTGGCTTGAATTTGCTGTTTCACTTTGTTTTCAATTATAACAGCATCACGAGATCTGGCATTTATCCACTGAAATGTGCCTTTCATCAATAAAACATTCTTCCATCAGTAAGACACCTGTAACAATCTAAGTCTCTTCAATACCCTAAATCCCAGTTAGGCAAAATATATTAACACATAGTGACATTCAGAGCATGAGCACTGGCCCTAAAGTTAGGTACTTTTATTAAAATACCTTGTGGAATTGGAAGGCCAGCAATGACTATCTTTTATGATAAATGAAAACAATCTTCTCAAATGCCGTTTCTCCTGTTCTTTCACCAGACCCGTTTCAACTAAAGACAAGTGCAGAACTAACGTACTCTCTCTTTTTTCTCCTTTTTTTTTTTGACCCTACTGTTCATAAACTGATTCTAAGTAGCAGTATAGTATGCAGGGCTGTACACAAAGAACCTCATTAAAAAGACTGTCATCTGTGTGTACTCCTCTGAAAGCTTCACTTTTGCGATTTTAGAAGTTTGTATTAATGACTGCATTCCTTTACCAAGCACTATTGTGTTTTTATTTCAGTTAAAAGCAAACATGTTTCCTTTTCGTTTTTGAAAATGGAGAAAGCTACTTTATTTACAAATTCCTGATTTTGGTGCAAGTCTAAAAACTGGTAGCTTAAACGTTAATATTTGTTTTCATTCTGCTATTTATTTTCATTTCTTCACATTTGTCTTTTTAATTAACCATGGTATAATGCATTAAATATAACATATTTCTCAGAATTGGAACTGTGAACTTTATAGACTTGTTATTCTTTTGTTTTTATAATGCCGTAATAATAAATAATTACTAGTGCTGGGAAGTTTAAGAACAATCCCAAAATCAGATTCCGGGTCTCCTTTCATTAAATAGTTTAGGATGTAGCAAGTCTGAAATTTTCTTGTGGAATAATAAGATTAGAAATCAAAAGGTTATTTCTGTTCATTAATATAATATTTTTTAAAATACCAGAGATAAAGTACTGAAGAGAATGTTAGAAATAACATGTAAATGCCCAAGAAAACCATGTAGACTTTTAGTAGTGTTCAGGATTTACAGTGCAATTTGGATAGAATTAGCAGCCATGTTGGCTACTAACTACAATTAAAATGTAGTTTGGCATTATACCAATTTAGGATACCTGTCTACCACTGTGAAGTTTTAGTGTATATTTATGCTATAAATATACATTTACTGATACCTTTATTTCTGCCTGGAGGTAAACAAAACATGGTCTTACATAAGAGAAATCTTACATGCATTATAGAAACAACAGCAACGGCACACACTAAACACAGTGATTACCCATTTGGATAACGCGTCATAACACCACAAACACTATTCACTGGTTTTACTCGCGCTATTTTTGCTTTCTTGTAATTTATTCCTTTTTTCTTAAAGTAAAAAGTATTTGTTCAGATAAACTTAACATGGCCCTTGCACTACATGTCCCAATTGTCACAGGTCCCTCAGAAACGACACATTATCATCTTTGCAGAGCTAATTCACCAGGACACCGATGCAGAGTACGCTTAGCTGATTACAGCTCCTCGAGGCTCAAAAAGGGCATCACAATCGTACAGAACAAGGGCATGATGCCCGACTGCCTGACATGATAGCTAAACAACACTCATTTTATTCTGTTTCTCTACATCAAAGACATTTGCAGTTCTGTTGGGTTTGCTTTGCTGCCTTGCGTGGACCACAGCTCTTTACTACTGGTAAATTTGGTATAGCAAACAGATAAGAGTACATAAAAACAAATTTCTGCCTTTCCCACAGTGCAATATTCTATCGCAGCATAACACACAGTAGCCAAATGAACCCTCTGTGGTTATTATGCACCTAATGTTGTAAAAATATTACTATGACATTTCGTCTGGTCGACCATCTTAAAGGTTAATTCTGTTTCCTATTTGAGATTTTCCTCTAGGTGAGCCATTCCGTGCAGTTTCTATTTACTGATTCCAAACAACCCCCAAACTGTTTCATTGCTCACTCTCACTGTTAAGAACATATTGACTGGCTGCCTGCTCTGCTGTTTAATTCATTTATGCTGAGAGTCAGGCATGAAGACAGAATTTTAAATGTGACATTTGCAGGCTGTTGGGTCATTTGAAGCTCTGACAACACCAGGGAGTTCCTGACATACAAACTGGTCCCGATTTCCAATCTTCCATGTTCTGAACTCAGAGATTCTTCCCGGAGGTGCAGATTTCAGCCAAAAGTTTGAAAATCCCTTGTGTTTACATCTCTCAGAAAAGACCTGTACACTTCAAAATTTTTAAATAAAGCTTATGTTTCCTTTAAGGTAAAACCAGCACTGCCTGCAGCGTGTGACTCAACTGCTTAAAAACACTGACTGACAAAGGTATTTGGAAAGATCTACAATAATAAATGTAATTAATACTAACAGGATTTTGTAAGCAACTTTGACATTTAGTGGACTTTTATTTGTTCCTGTTGATCTTTAAGCGTTCAAAACCAGCCCAGTCTGAAACCACAGCTTTATCTCACATTGTCTATCTGGCTATTGTTACCCTGATCAACGTCACGTCCCAGTTTTCAAGTTGGAAGTTTTCCTTATCTCAAGGCAGTGAATGGACTGTATCGTTTTGTTTCCCACAATGAACTGTCCTTATCTTCTCCAACTTTCAGAGTATACCTAACCTGAAAGATTTCATACTGCCAAAGTACCACTAGGAAAACAGTAATCTGACCTAGTCACTCTTGACTAGGTTGACTCTATAGTTACCTGTCCCTGAAGAGGGACATGAAGAGTGTGGCCAGCAGGACAAGGGAGGTTATCCTCCCCCTCTACTCTGCCCCGGTGAGGCCACATCTGGAGTACTGTGTCCAGTTCTGGGCTCCCCAGTTCAAGGACAGCGAACTGCTGGAGAGAGTCCAGTAAAGGGCTACAAAGATGATGAGGGGACTGGAGCATCTTTCTTATAAGGAAAGGCTGAGGGACTTGGGTCTTTTTAGTCTGCAGAAAAGACGACTGAGGGGTGATTTTATTAATGCTTATAAATACTTAAAGGGAGGGTGCCAGCTGGATGGGAACAGTCTTTTTTCAGTGGTGCCCAGTGACAGAACAAGAGGTAACAGGCACAAACTTGAACATAGGAAGTTCCGTCTTAACATGAGGAGGAACTTCTTTACTTTGAGGGTGACAGAGCCCTGGCACAGGCTGCCCAGAGAGGTGGTGGAGTCTCCGACTCTGGAGACATTCAAAACCCGCCTGGACACCATCCTGTGCAACCTGCTGTGGGTGACCCTGCTCTGGCAGGGGGGTTGGACTAAACGATCTCCAGAGGTCACTTCCAACCCTGACCATTCTGTGATTCTGTGAAGCAGGACTTGCATCTACTAAGTTAAAAAGTAATTTTTTTTTGGAGAAGATTCCAATCAGATGTTGAACTTTGAGAAAAGAGTAAGAAGGGAGAATAGAGTTTTCTGCACAGAAAAGATCTTCCTTGCCATAAATTGTAAAAAAACCCAAATACACGTCATAATAAAAACTGCAGCCTGCTATTCAATCCCAGCTCAGATGTCCACATCCTGCCTCATTTGGTTACCTAAATCAATGGAAGAGCATTGATTTCAAATGAAGACACAGTTAGAAAGCACAATCTGGGCAAAATCTCAATCTGGGGGGTTTTACAGTGCAAAACAAAAAGCGAACAAAAAACCCTGTGCAAAGCAAACAGTATGATGACACTGTTATAGTTAGAAATAGAAATAGTGCTAACACCTCATTCAGAGCTGTATTAGGAGGGGAGATTGTTTTCCCTATTCAACTCGTCATGATTATTATTCCATAATAATGATTCTATACTTTGGCTGCTTTTTCAGGAAGGGGAATATGATTTAGGTCAAGAAGCAAACTGGAATATATTAATGGATTTTTTTTCCTTTTATATCAGTAGACACACAATTTTAACAGCAACCTCTGAAGTGTCAACTGTGTCATACTGCACACATCTTTTCGTAGCCATGTTCAGAATAAGACTTTTATAATTTAATAGTTGTCACCGGAACAAGAGTAGGTTGTTTTTACGTACTTCCAACATGAGGACATTGATTCTGTATGACCTAGAAAAGCAGTTTAAGTATTACAGATGTTGTTTATTCTCAAAGCAAATCCTTAAAATAGAAAGACATACCTGGTGTATTATCTGAGCTACAGGAAGCTGTTCAGCATATTTTAGTGGCTCTGTTGCCAATTCGTCCTTTGGAAGCCTGGGAAGAAATGAAGTTAACATTTATCAAAGTTAGTTCAATTTTACCAAGTTAAATTACTGAAATTTAAGATTTTCAGATACATTACATTTAAATGTGTAGTATCTGGGAGATTACTTTGCTTAAGATGAAGAAAAAGCGTATTTTAAGACCTTAATTGAATGTATTTCTTACAAAGTTGAGTGAAAATAAATTCATAGTAAACAGAAGTGTGTAACCTTGTGGATATTCTTCTCTGACCAAAGTACATAAAACACAAATTTAGCAGCAGAAACCTTTAAATTTAGTTTTAGATGAACAAAGCGCAGGTGAAAGCTGGACTGAAATCCCCACAGGAAAAGTCTTACGCGTTTACAGAGCAGATTCAGCACCATTAACAATACAAGCTGCTTCACTCAATCCTGCCAACATAATTCAAATATGACCACCTCAAAAGGGAAGAGGGGTTATTCACTGTTTCCCATTTTTGCTGCAAGTGCACATCATGTTCAGCTGTGGTAGAAGTTCAACACCACAAATATTTGTGCATTTGCCAGCACAGTAGTGTGTACTACTGGTTTCAAATAAACGAAAGAACGAGCATGAACAAAAAGAATAGAATACTTCACAAAGAAAATGCATCATAACCCTTTAAACTTCAAATAAACTGTAGTTGCAACTGAACATTTAGAATCCATAAGCAGTCTCTTAAAAGAATATTTAAATTATAGTACATTAATATGAAAGCATGTTTTAAACCCTTCGACCATACTGCTTTCTTCTACTGGAACTACACAGCATGTGCTACATTTTCAAAGTATCATTGAAGGCTTTCATCAGTCATTCCTCAATCTTTCTGAAGAGTTCTGAATATAGGAATTTGAGTAGTATGACAAGAAGTGAAGGGGAAAAAAAAGATCCCTAAGAAAACAATGCCTTTCTACAAAGTTTAAGCAGAATTACCTTCAGACAAAAACTGCGGCCAAGACATTATTTTCCGGGTTCAAATTACTACCTTATACCCATTCTAGTAAAAAATGATACATGTTTGCTGGGTTAATTTACCTGCCTACTGGCTGCCAGGTAAGAGCCAGAAACTACAGGCTTAGACTCTGCGCTGGGCATCAACAGACTGTGGCAAAAGAGAAGACAATAAATGCACATCTCTTCCCTTTCCCATTTCTGAATGTATGTTGTGGTTTGGAATGTTTTTAAGCTGCAAGTAAGTGCCTGAATACCTAGAAACCTGTAATGAACAGAGTATGAGGAAGTATGAAAGTCTCACTGTCTTAGAAATTTAAAAGCAGAGAACAAAAGAAACGTGGCAATATTTCAAAGATCATAGTGACAGCCTGTCTAGAACAGCTTAATGTACTTAAGAAAAATTACATATGCAAGCTCTGAACTACTGAAGCCAGTCTACTGACAGTTCATTTACTCATATGGTTTTTAGAGGTTTTGAACTATTATGACAATGATGAATTTGTACTCGTAACATGAAATATACTGCTGTTATAGCCCAACACAACCATCAGAGCTCAGAGCGAGCTCCGCAACTCCACTGCGGTGTGCAGAAGGAACCTTTCCACTCATTTCCTTTCTACTTCCTATCATTTGCGGAGTCCTGACTGGCAAACGTACCACTGCCTACTTAGCTACCCAGAGTCACTGTGAATTTGAGATGACTTCTGTTCTGCTGGGACACTGTTAGCTGACATGACACCTTTATTTATGGATACTAGCTATATAAACCCACTTCTTAGCCATACCTCTAGATATGAAACCACTGCACACAGAACAAATACTCATCTTTATCTTGAACACTTATCTCTGCAGTCTTTTCAGGGACACTGCAAACGTGGAAAAGAAAACGAAAACCAAAACCCAGTATCTCAAATGTCAAAATTAAATACTTGACGTTGCAAGTAACAGCTACAATTACTACAGACTGAATGTTAGCAGAGGGAAAAAAAAAAAAAAAGGCTTGTCTGTTCTATTAACGACTTTGTACATTTGGCAATGTTTTCTTTCTAGACAAATTCAGCATTCCCTTGCATATTCAAACACCTTCCTTGTCAATTACAGAAAAAAAAGACCTTTCTTCAAATGTCAAAGGATTAAAAAAAGAGAAAAATTATCAAGATAATTTTGAGCCTTAGGAAGCTTTACTAAAAAAACAGGGCGGGTAGAATAGTATAAACACGAATTTTAAAGTAATTAGATTTACATTGAAATTAGGCTGATAGGAGTCTTTCAACACCAAGGAAGACTGTTTTTTAGTTTTTTCTAAATTTACTTTCTGAAAAAAATCAATTGAACTACACTACATTTTTTATATATATAAATTATAAGAGATTATATTGTAATGTGCACCTATCTATATACATACACTTGTCTACACCTATGTACCTAGACTATAATATGTATACACGCACAGACACAGATATTTTGGAACAAAAGTTCAGAAGTGTTCTCTCAAAATTTTTGCTTAGTGATGTACTAGCTGTCAAGCCTACAAAAGAGAGTTTTGATTCTTCTCTCCTGCAGATAAGCCTCCTCAACTGGATGGCCATGTATCTCTATCTTTTATATTAAACTGCATAAATTAAAGCATGGAGGCTCAACACTCATGACAAAAAAAAGCTGTATGAAATATTGCCCAACTATATCCTCTACCTGGAGCAAGTCATTAACTTGAACTAGCAGGTACGACAAAACAGAGTATCAATAAACTTAGGGCAATTGAGGGTACTAAATAAAATGCAAGAATAACCACAGTAAATGATCTTTGCAAATTTGACAATAATAGCGGCCTTCATGTTAGATACTGCATCTAAAGCCACTGCATGGCATTTTGTCAAATGAAAGAACATACCACCTCCTCCTAGTACCATTCACTCAGATCCACCTAACAAAAATTAACTGTGAGAAGGATATGCAGATCATTGAGCCAACCTAAAACATGAGCAAGTTCTCACTGACCATGACTGATTTTTTTTTTCTTAAATTCATAAGCATAAATATGGCTTCACAAAGGTTTTCCTGAACGCTTTGTTCCCAGCTCTTTTATCTTCTTTGATCAACTATCAGAATATTTCAACACATATTTTTCTAGGGTTATTCTCATCCGCTTCTACTTATGGTTCTGACCAAGAGTCAGATTTGAACTGTTATTACATTCACTGTTCATAGCTATTTACACAGTAGAAAATTAAAAGCATCTAATACTAGTGACATTCCTTTTAGCTAGAAAAGGGAATAACCCCTAGAAGTTATGTTGTATTTAAAAAAAAAAAAGGTAAAAATTTTGTGAGGGAAAATCCACATTTTTGCTTGATTTATCTTTTTAATTTTCCTATGAAGTGATGATACTTGTGACAGAAATAGAACTTTATGACAGAGGTACCTCCCAGGTCTCAGTTTTCAAGTACTTACATGTAGTCAGTTTGGAAGCCAGTTTTAAGCTTCAAAGTACTTAAAAACGTCCAGAATGCAAAGTTCTACCAGCATAACTATGTCAGTTAGCAATAGCACTTTCAGTATTTGTTTTAACAGATGTAAGCAATATAAACTCTTTTGAAGAGAATCATATTATTATGAAGGCTCCATAGATCTCATTTTTAATTTCTCAGAGCAAGCACTAGTTTATTGGTCTAAACATTTGTATAACAGGTATGAGGCAACCTCCTCTAAATTTCCTTCTGCTTCTTTTTTCTTACCAAAAAACCTGTTGTGCAACCATTCTTTCTAACAAAGGTGAAAACCGGTGATGCAACAAGAAATTGGTGTCCTGTAAGCAACAGAGGATGAAACACTGCATATGAAAGGCTTCTATGAAACAGCACCCATCATGAAAGCTCCAACAACAGGAGTAAAGTCAGGACTTGTCTGTCCTGAGAAAAGGCCAGAAACAGCTAAAATCCCCTGCAAGTGGGCACAGAGGCTATATTTTAAACAGTCTTTTAAATAAGAAGAGAGACAGCTCGCTGCCAGTAGGATCAAGCAACACGATGTAGCTCACAACTACAGGGCTGAATTCTCTCCCCCAAAGCAGGAGCTGCACCCAAACCTGGCCACTCCAGGCACGTGCCATGCCCTGAACCACATACAAACATTGTCCAGGAAAGCGCTAGCTGGTGTGAGCCAAAGAAGTATCCCAGATTGTGCTAACAATTAAACATCACATGTGACTGCAAGACAGTACATCAGCCTGCCTAATCCACAAGCACAGCAGCAGCCTCCTATTCTGCCTTTAAGAAAATTATATCAGTTAGCTTGGTCGGTTTTGCAAGTGGATCAAGTAAAAGCCACCGTCAGGACAGTTAGTACCGAGGAGAAAGAAGCTTGCTGCAAAACTGCTACTTCATTTTACACTAGCCCTCAGACTAGTAGCCCACTAACACTGGGCCTCCTAGACTGGCTGAATTACCTGTAAAAGGCAATCCTCTTCTAAAAAGCATAAGGGATAGAAAGGCCATGAGTAGAGAAGAGAAAAAGGTCAACAGACAAGAGGATGCTCTACTTCCTCCCTTTTTGCAAGGTGGGGGAATAGAACAGGTCAGCAGAAAGATCATCTCCATTACCATCATCCTGACCTTGCCTCTCCCTTTCACAGAGGGACACAAGTAAATCAGTTACTACTCTCCTTCCAGAGATAACTCCCAGATGCCTGGGGTGGCATTCCCTTTTGCTCAAAACCAGCTATGTCAGGGAAAAAAAAAAAAAATACAAAACACCCCTAATCTCTTGATGGAATTTGTGCTCAAATTCCATGTGGCAGTTTGAGTCTGTAATTTCACAAAATTAGTTGGCCTCACTGTTTAGTTGCTTTGTCTTTGACACTTAAACCTTTAGAAAATTAAGGGCTTATTTTGTTGTAATACCAATTTCCTTGTATGTTTAATTTCTTTCAAAACAATTCTATTGCAAAAACAGAAGTAGTTTTTCATGAATTAATTTTCCAGTAAGAAATGGTCCTTTCTGTCTCAATTGAGCATGACAGCAGAGTGGTGCCAATGGTG